GGGGCAGAAGAATAAAGATATAAATGAAAAAAGCAGCCAACAGCACAAGGAACACTTCTCATTTAATGTAGGAACCATCCCTTAGCCTGGGTTCACAAATATGCGGTTTATCGCATGTGATTCGCACAGGAACTGCACCACATTCCTGTGCAAATCACATGCGATTTGTGTGCGGTAGAATCGGATCATATGGGTATTCACACCTATGCGATCCGATTCTGAGCATTGCACCGTGTTTTGCAGACTGATTTCGGGGTGTTGTTAACATACACACCCGCAGCTGTTCGCATGAACTAGGTGCGATTCTGATGCGGAATTGACACAGAAAATGCAGAATTCTGTACCACATCATTGTGAACCCAGGCTTATGCTGATTTAAAAAAAAATTAATTAAACTTACAGTAGAACTAAAGGCAAAACTTGTTTTTTATTTAGGATAGAGCAATGGAGGGTTATAACCCGTCAGATCTTTTTTTCGCCATATGCATCCCATTTCGGAGATTTTCCTTCACTTCCTGTCCCATAGTCAAACAGAAAGTGAGAGGAAATCCCTACAAATTATGGAAATCCTACAGTGACCCCCAGATCACAAAAACTAGTGCCCCCCCCATTGGAAGATTTTCCCTCTGTTTCTTTTCTGGGGACAGCGCAAATGTGGGATTTTATTTACTTTCCGGTTCAATAATAATGGTAAACAGGACAAATAGAGAGGGTGAATCTCCCTAATGGGAGCACGCAAGACCGCAATACAAACCTATACACAGAGATGGATATTCAGAGCATGGCTGACGCATTTCAAGGGGGGATCCCCTCTTCCTCAGAGCCAGGCCATGCAAAGTTGGCTTTCAGCTGAATTAACTCTCAGGAAGATTGGATCCCCCTTGAAACGCATCATTTGTGCTCTGAATGTCCATCTCTGTGTATGGGATGCGCACAGTTCTCCAGACTATAGACCATTGAGGGTCATGACATGCTTGTTTTTACTTGGCATTATACATCTGTTACTTCCAAATAAAAGATTTGTGTGTGAGGTAATGCGCAAGGCTTGTGTGCCCTTTTCTCTTTCTTTTTCTTATCTTCCAGTGGCTTTTTGGGATTTCCCAGCCCTTAGAGGGCTGCACAGCTTTGCTAGACCGAATTGAGTTGAATACAATAATTCACGAAGATCTCTCCACGCATGCCAGATCCAGTCTTGAGAGCGCAGGAGGTTTTTATTCTTCCTATTAAGCAATAAAAACCTGACAGGTGTTCTAATCCCTCATCACTGTATCCAAAACAAAAAAAAGTTTTCCCTTTAGTTATACTTTACGTTTAATATGCAGGTTCAGCAACTCAACTGATTTGTGCTGGGAAACCCAATAGCCATAATATCTGGGTGTCCATATGCTATAACAAGGAGAGTTATGAAGGGAGTTATGTAAACTGCATCTCCAGAATTACTTCTTCTATTGGTCTTGCTGATCTTATTCTTGCCATATATACAGCACCGTCTAGCTGCAAGAGTAAGAGAAGAGGCACATCCTATTCTTTTTGGGATGGGTTGCAATTGCAAGAGGTGAAAATGTTCCTTATGTATGACTAATATTCCCCATTAGTGCAGTGAAAAATGACAAATCCACACAAGTGCTGTTTACTGCGCTCTTCCTTGAAGTATTATTTCTAAGAGTGCCTTTAGAGCAAGAAGGAACACTATAGAAATTCCGTTTGCTTTATTAAATACAGCTGTTATTACTTAATAATAGCAAACATCAGAAAAACTGTTAATAAGATTCCTCTTATTGAAATCTCTGGAATCTTTGCTATACACATCAGATGCAGAGAGGTTTTTTAGAAGTAGGGCTGATCAACAATGTTCTGGATGCTGCAGAGAATTATTCTGCATGGTTGCATCCTACATGAGTGGATTTTACTGAAGTATTAATTTACACTTCCAGCCTCAGTAAAAACAAGTTACTTTGAGCTTCATGTATTTTTCCAAAATGCAAATGTTCTTCTGTAGAATACAGACTATCACCCCTTTCCGCTCTGAAATATGTATGTAGAGGCAAAGCTACAGAAAGTAATGGTAGCGTTAAAGGGCACGTAAACCCTAACAATGAACTTCTCTTGTTTGCTCACTCTTGGTCAGTAAATATACCATTAAAAGTGTTTTGGTATATTTATTCAATATGTGAAAAAATATGGTTGATCCTGCCAGAAATCCAGATCTGTCTTAGAAACAGAGAAAAGCGACAACGGAAAAAAAGAACAAGTGGTCCACAGAATGTGCCCATTTTTTTTATTTTATTCATACGCAGTGCTACTCCCATAGGAATACTTTCCAGGTCCTCCTCAGTTCCTTTGCCCCACAGCCAGGCACATAAGCTCATTCACACATTTCACAAATTAGCAGTCTAGAGGTGTTGTTTTATTTTTTGAGAATTTGGATAGGGATGAGGGCAATTAGTGTAATACTCCAAAAATAGGAACTATGTACATTGAGGACTTTATCTATTCTTCAGGATAAGCTACGTTGGAGTCCTTGCTTGAATCAAACAGTGGACTTCAGCTCTAAGGCAGTAGTAAAAAGTTGAAGTAGTAGCAGTAACTTCTTTAGGGCCCCAGAGCAGTTTCCCTTTAAGAAGTAGGTCAGATGGACAAAGCTCTTCGGAACACCAGGCGGTGTTCCCTTTTCTAGACTTGCAGCTTACTTTCTAGCACCCGAGGGGGTTAAGCAGAAGTCTCTGAGATCCTTTAGGGATGTCCCTCTACTCACAAGAGCAACTGGATGCCTTCCTCTGTGATACCAGACCAGATCTTCAGTAGGCAGCCCCTCAGCCAGCATAGCAGAACCTGGTTCTCAGTATTCAGGCCCTCAGGTCACCCACCTAAGGCCGCATGGCAGTAGATGCCTGCGAGCACAACGTGCCCTCTCCCAAGCTGGATCAGTCCTAAATAGGAAAGAACCAAAAGCCCTGTGTGCTCACTGAATATATATAGTTACCCAGCATGCTTTAGAGCCCATCACTCTGGGATAGGCTGAGGCTATATCAATATTCATGCTGCCATCTGCATAACTCCACACCTATCATCCAGAAAGTCTACAGTTTCCTGGATACAGAGGAAGCTAGGCAGGCTAGCAGCAGCTGAGCACGCAGAGCAGACCTAACCAAATGATCACAGCTCAATCAGTACAGTGAGTTAAAGTTGAGTTCCACCTAAAAAAAATAAAAATAAAAGTCAGCAGCTACAAAAACTGTAGCTGTTGACTTTTAAAATACAGTTACTTATCTGTCCCTTGGTCCAGTGGTGTCTTCACCACTGCTGATTTCACCGGCTGTCTTCTCTCCCTGGCAACGTCAGTATGGGCACAGGGCTGTGACAGCTTGCGGCTTTAAAAGCCAGGTGCCCACTGCGCATGCATGAGAAGCGCTGCACTTTGTGAATGGCCCTGTAGTCTTCTGGAACCTGTCATGTGTCCCTGAAGACTACAGGGAGGGAAGGGCGGAGGACAACTTTCGCTTCTTTTCGCCTTAGGTGATGGCAGCAGAAGTGGGAGCAGGTACCTGTCAAATTTGAGTACCCGCTTCCCAAAGGTGCCAATTCTAATGGGAGTGGGAGACAAAGGCTTAAAGTGGAACTACCCCTTTTGGGTGGAGCTCCGCTTTAACTATGCTTTTTACTAACATATATTTACAGCTACTCTGACTACAGAGTGACAACTAAATTTACTTATTAAAAATACAACAAATTCTATCTATCTAAACCTAGCACCTACAAAGGAGGGTGCTACACATTATTTGCTTTGTTTCGAACTTTTTTGTATAGATCAAAAAAGTAAAAAAAGCACAAAACATGTATAAAAAACCCCCAAAAAACAAAAACAGGTAAACTCTATGGACCTCCTGTTGTTTTTTATGCTGTCTTGTGTCCTGTGTACTCTTCAGTGTAATCTCAATCACTGGTATCAACCTGACACAGCTCACCTCTGTACACTACAGATGAGGGGAGGAGTAGGTGTCCTGTAGTTCTAATAATACACTTCCTTGCTAGGGTGACAACGCTGTTTCTCCGTTTATACAGTACAGTGAGTGAGCGTTGTCACTGTAGGACAGGAAGTGTGTTATTGACAGAATCACCAAGAGAAATTAAAAAAAAAATGAGAAAGAAAACTAATGCCGTTATCCCATCTAAATGCTGATAAGCCACAATATACAATTTTATACACAATTTTTTACTTGGGTATGGATACACTTGTGTAGAGCCTGAAATTATTCAAGGCTCTGCTTTTGCAGAGTATATATATGCAGTTATATTGGGTGCATGATACAATTATCTACAAGCTAGGATAAAATGACTTTATTTACAGCTAATTACTGCATATTCACAAATGTACTATGTTAGAGCCTGTGCAAATGGATGTTAGTCCTCCAGGCTTCCCCCCATGGCAGAATTGCATGTTGACCCTTGACATGAGTGTGTTCTATTTGCTTTAAGTTCCAGAACCTTGAGATAATGACTTTCTGCTTATACTTTGGAAAACAAAGATTAAAACCACAGATGGCTAATCTTTTTACAGACTTGTTAAGGTATATTTGGTAATATTTGTAGGATGCCTGCAAGCAATCATGCAGGAGATATCAGCATCACATAAACAAACAGAAGAGGTTATCCTTTGAGAAATTTTAGCTATTTCAAAAGAGTAGATTTCATGACTGGGTTTGTGCCATATATGTGTTGATTAGTAATTTAGCTTTCATGCAACTTAATCTGGCTGACTGTCATTCAGTGTAGGAAATGCACTTTCAGTTTTGGGTAAAATTTTCAAGTGATTTGACAATCACTTACCTATGTCATTTAATATTTGAATTCCGCCATGCATGTGATATTAGAGCATTAACCTCATATTGATTAAAACTCTCTGAAATTTAAGCCAGCCTTCCCAGAATAGCTATTCCCACAAGTGTAAAAATATCAAACACATGTAATGATGGAGTTGTTTGTTTTTTTCTTTGTCTTAGTCCAGCTGAAGGACAGCTATGAATCCCACACATTCTTCTTTCTGGTATTTGACCTGTAAGTACAATATTTTGTTATTTGTATTGTGCAATGATTACCATTTCATGTATATTGCTTTTATTTCATGTGTTAAATTGGCAGCTTAATTGTGAAAATGATACATTTTAGGGACTTGTCCACTAATCCGTGTATGTAGTTTAGAAATTGAGGGGAATTTATTTCTGACCCCATTATACATCTTTGTGCTGCATAGGTAAAATGATTCTACTAGTTATATAGATTAAAATGATAATCCCACAACTGCTCAACTAGTTTATGAACTATAAATAAGTGTAACTCCAGCCAAAAGTTTCTTGTTGAATTTTGGATGGTTTTGGCAGGGTTAGAACCTTTGCCAGGTATACTGGATGGAATACCCCCACAGGCATGCAAACAGCAGTAAAAACATGATGCAAATAAAAAGAACATCTGCACAAGAGGGTTTATTAAAGGCAGCAAACACCAGCAATTTTTATAGTATGGGCAACACAGTGGATAAGTGGTTAGCACTTCCGCCTGGCAGTACTAGGGTTGTTGGTTCAAATCCCAACCATGGCACCACCTGCCTGGTGTTTGCATGTTCTCCCTGTGCCTGCGTGGGTTTCCTCTGGGTACTCTGGTTTCCTCCCATACTCCAAAGACATGCTGGTAGGTTAATTGGCTTCTGTCTAAATTGGCCCTAGTATGTGTATGTATGAATGTGAGTTAGTGACCTTAGATTGTATGCCCCTTGAGGGTTAGGGACTGATGTGAATGTACAATATATATGTAAAGCACTGTGTAAATTGATGGCGCTATATAAGTACCTGAAATAAATAGCATACCTTCAAAGAACTAAGCAAAAATGGCAACTTCCCAATTTTTTAAACTAGCTTTTAGAGTGGGGGTTGAGTCCAAACTTTCTAAACAAAGGGCCAGTTTACTGTCCTTCAGACATAAGGGGTGTTGGAATGTGGTCAATGGGAGTGAAAATGGCCCAGCATCAGTGCAAGTCTCAGGCTTGGAGGTCCATTGGAGTAAATACATTACACAGCTCTTGTGGTCAGAAGGCGGAGAAAAAGTGTCTCATTATTGGTAATGGTGGGACCCATAGTGCCCCGTCATTGGTATCAGTGGGAGGAATAGTGCCCCGTAATTGCTATCAGTGGTGGGAATAGTGCCCCATCTTTGGTGTTAGTGGGAGGATTAGTACCCCATCACTGGTATCAGTGGAAGGAATAGTGCCCCTTCATTGCTATCAGTGGTGGGAATAGTGCCCCATCTTTGGTGTTATTGGGAGGAATAATGCCCCATTGTTGTTGTCAGTAGAAAAAATAGTGCTTTATCTTTGGTGTCAGTGAAAGGAATAGTGCCCCGTATCAGTTGACAAAAGAGGCCAGAAAAAGGCACGCAAAGTGCCACATCTGGCCGGCAGGCTACAGTTTGTTTTAGAGACATTGTGTAACCAGTGTACACACGGTGAAGGACGCAGCCTCCATTTTGTTAAGAGTATCCATGTTATTCCCTCATTCCTCCCCCCTCCCTCTCTGAGAGGCACAGTGACATATGGCAGCGTGTGTGTGTGTGTGTGGTAAAAGTGTCACAGGCCAGAGCCAGCAGGGGGGCTATGAGCTATAGGACCCCCAAGGGAGCCGGGGCCTCGCTGTCCAAAGAACCTGTAAAATGTAACACCTCGTATAAGATAAGGCAAGCTTTCCCAGGAGTTCAAAGAACATTCCAAGGAAACACGACCAGATAACATTTGTTAAAATCCATTTTTCCCCTATGTCTCATATCTTGGAATATGAGAGACTTAAATAAAAACCAGACATATCGTCAGATTGGCTAAGAGGAGACGAACACTTTGGTAGGTCACTCGCCTTGTCTCGAATACATAGGAAAGCCGAAAAGTAGATTGCCTGAACCGTTCGATGTGTAATAATTTCATAATTCATATCTAATCAATCCTCAGACGTGTCTGCATAATAATCTACCCTTGGGTGGAATGCCACTTGTGCAGATGGAAAGTTATGGGCCAAAATATGAGTTAGGAGAGATTTTGGCTCTAGTTGAGGTATCCGCCCAGACCTCCATGCCCTAAACGGGGTATTGGTCCTTGACTTCAGAGACGCCCCCTGCTGGGGAACTACAAAATGGGCTGTCAGGCCTAAGAGAGCAAAGTTGAAGATGTCTCCATTTTAACATCAGTACCACCTGGGGAGACCCGTGCCCTTTCACTCTGAAACTTGGATCTGCTAAACCAGGACTTTGGCAAGTACCTTAACCCTTTCACCTCTCTCTGATATCTCTTTGCTGTGCTGTTGGTCTCTGTATATTTTTATATATATATTGGTTACATCTTTGTTCTGTAAATATTTTATTGCACCCCCTTTTTGACTTTTCAGTAATAAATCTTTCTTTCTGAAAGTGTTGAACTGTTTCTATAGCTCTTAATTGCACTTTACGAATTCCTGCCTCTAAAGAGAACCCTACTGTGTTTGTTTAACCCTCTGTATAACCGGCCTGCAATGACCATGTTATACAGACGATTACCTCAACCATTATAGTGTTATTGCGGATATCACTGAGTTTCCTCTTTCTCTGTACAAAAAGGAGGGTGGTGGCAGTGTGAAGGGTTAATTGCGTAATTAACCTGACCCAGTAACATTCACTCAGGCTGCCGGTACATCGATTGTGGTCCAGTTAGCTGGAAAATCGTTGTGCAGGGTGTGGTGGTATTGTTACGCACGTGATAGCGCGATTTTTGATTGGCTAGTCCTGCAGTCACGAGTTTGGTGAGAAGGGCCACGGTCTGACACCGCGGTCGTCACATACTGGTGACAGCAATCGTGGGATTGTCGCATATTGGTGGCAGCGATCTCGCGTTCTTGACACATGGAAGGGCTTCGCACAGAACAAACATAACAAACATTTTCCCAGCAAACTTACCAACTAGCCAGTCCAACCTCTCAAAAAAACAAAACAATTTACACTTCTAACAATTTGTTTAATAGCTACTAATAATTGTTAGTAGTAGTTAATAATATTTTGTTAATAAAACACAGGTTTTAGTTACACAGCATTTGCCTAAATGACCTTTTTGTTTCAGCCTCATTCATACAGACATACTTAAGCATGCTCCTGGGAGGGCCATGTTAGACAGCCATGCAGGTGTGCGTCCCTAAATGCAGACAGTGTTCATTCAGGACAATGCACCCACATGGCTGTCAAATTGAGAACAGTGGCTATGTCCATGCATCTGGTGCATGTGCATCCCTGTGTGAGTAAACATGGCCCTGCACAGGCTGTATACTATTGTACACCCTGTGTGAATGAGGCCTAAATCATAGGTTCCCAGTCAGGTATGGTTGCTGCTCTGTAACATATAACAAGGTAGATGTTGGCTGGTTTTCATAATGTCAGCTTATGTTTGCCTTAACAGTAAAAACATGACATTGTTTCCAACTCTTCTGCATTTGGTTGCAAAAATTCTACTTTTATTGCTGTATATGTCCCCAATAAGTAGACACCCTATTTAAGGTATTACGGTCACTAAGACAGAATGGGAGGAAAATACTCTTCATTGCCAACACAAATAGCAATAAATATCAGAGAGATCTTAATCCTTCCCTACGCTATGCAAACCTAAAAGGAAAAATGTTAAAACTTTAATATTTGCTGAAATTAAAACTTACGCATATTGAGAAACACGTGAACCCTTAAGACCGTCACCAAATCAACAGGTCAAAGATCAGGGCCAGGAAATGCATGGTCTATTGCAATGTGTGTAAGTATAATATAAGAATAGATAAAAACTGTCATTTGATGTTTCTTGGATATTACAATAACTATTCACTCTGTTATATCTGACACGTTTAGATCACACTGTCCAAACACTCATCCAGCATGATGTTAAGGAACACAAGAAATCTTTGGGACTTTACACATCAGCTGATGAATGAGAAGATTATGAATGTGATTCTAATGAGCTTACAATATTGGTCCATTGCCAGATTACTCTGTATGATTCTTTGCAAGTCATTCTAAGCATTGTTGAGTACAGTATCTGCCATCTTCCTTATGCAACAGTTGCCCTCACAGATCTCTGAGTGACAGACATTTCAGCTCGGATGTCCTTGTACCCTTTACTGTGACCAGTTAAAATTATCACGGGATGTTTATTTTTACTTTCTGTTCAGCCAGACAGCTAGGATGCAACTGAGAACATCCAAGAAGGTCCAAGCACATTTAGATCCTGACATTTTAGATAGGTCTTTATTAAATAACACCAGAGACTGGTCTGTGATAATAAATCACAAGGATCGATGAAAAAACTACAATAAATATTGGAATCCAATTTCTTTTATTTTCTTGAATATTGTAACAATAGAGAGCAATTGAGTACTGTCCTTGATACTTTTTTTGTACTAACATCCAAATTTCCAGGACAAGGTTTTGTGGTGTGTCCTTTCTTCAAGGTCCATGCAGTACTAATAAACACAATTTTAGCAGAATGTTAGGTAGGAAATATATACATTCTCGGAGCACATTTGTAACACAATTATGCATACAACACATGATGCATACAAATGAAAACTGTTGACCTTATGGAGCTTACAGCTCTTGCCAAAAGTTTTGAGACTGACACAAATAATAATATACCTGCAAGGAAACACGTGCAGTCATTATTGCTTTTGCACAAAAAGGGATTCATAGGCAAGGATATTGCTTCTTCTAAGATTGCTCCTAAATTGACCATTTTTCGGATCATCAAGAAATTCAAGGAAAACAAAGAAGCCACTTCTCTCCAAGAAAAACATCAGGGACAGACTGATACTCTCCAAAATGTACAGGGATTGGACTGCTGAGGACTGGGATAAAGTCATTTTCTCTGATGAGTAATTTCTCTGATGAATCCCCTTTCCGATTGTTTGGGGCATCCGGAAAAAACCTAGTCCAGAGAAGAAAAGGTGAGTGTTACCATCAGTGTCATGCCACAGTAAAGCATCCTGAGACCATTCATGTGTGGGGTTGCTTCCAGTAGTGTATTTAGGTTTTGTGCTGCCCTAGGCAACACAAAAATCGTTTGCCCCCACGGACACCGACCAGCATCACCCCTCCTTCCCACTCCCACAGAGAGAACCTGACAATGCTGACATTGACCAACAACACCCCTGGCGAAAAAGACACTCATCTGCACAGCTCTCCAGGAATGAGAGTCAGGCTCTACATACACCATCAAGCAGCTCGCAGCCTCTTTCAGATCCTGCCTGATTCCCATGGCAAGGGCGTCCCTTCTTTCACGTCCCTTCTTCTGGGGGGAGGTGCTGCCCCCCTGAAAACTGCTGAAAACTGCCGCCCTAGGTTGCGCCCCTGGTTGCTTCTCAGCCAAGGGAGTAGGCTCACTCCAAAGAACACATGCATGAATAAAGAATAGCACAAAAACATCCTTCGAGAGCAACGTCTCCCAACCATCCAAGAACAGTTTGGTGACGAAAAATTCCTTTTCCAGCATGATGGAGCACCTTGCCATAAGGCAAAAGTGATAACTAAGTGGCTTGGGGAACAAACCATCAAAGAGATAGAGAACTTGTGGTCAATCCTTAAGACGCGGGTGAACAAAAAAACCCCCCACAATAACTGACAATCTGCAAGCATTGATTCTGCAAGAATGGGCTGCCATCATTCAGGATGTGGCCCAGATGTTGACTGATAACATGCCAGGGCGAATTGCAGAGGTCTTGAAAAAGAAGGGTCAGCACTGCAAATATTGACTTTTTGCATAAACTTAATGTAATTGTCAATAAAAGCCTTTGACACTTATGGAATGCTTGTAATTATACTTCAGTATATCATAGTAACATCTGACAAAAAGATCTAAAAACACTGAAGCAGCAGACTTTGTGAAAATTAATATTTGTGTTATTCTCAAACCTTTTGACCAGGGCTGTATATAATTTTCTTTCTCCATGCTACACTTCTGTAAACAGCATTTTCTTAGCAGTTACTGTGCTTTGTCTACATTTAGCTCTTGCACTTCACTTGAAACAAGTTCTTCTGAAAGTAAATATGTTTATTAGTGTTTTATATGTATATATACTGTATGTATGTATGTATGTATGTATGTATGTATATGTATTTTTATATATGTATTATTTATTTTTTCAGAATGAGGAGAGGTGAACTATTTGACTACCTCACAGAACAAGTTACATTGAGTGAGAAGGAAACAAGGTAACTGTTCATGTTTACAATGTTGCCTGTATCAATTTACCAAAAAAAAAAAAAAACAGAACAAAAAAAACATAACTGCATTGATGTGGTGACAATAAAAAAATGTATATCCTTATGCTTCAAAAATAAGAATATACACAAATGAATGGCCCTGTAATCGATTTTTGTGTTTTATGCCTCCCTGTAACATCCTCCAAGAGCTTCTAAACCTCTTCTTTTCCCTCTGCCTGTCATTGGTTTGGATCAAGCCGTGCACACTAGTTGTGGTGCACTTCTCTATGCACGCTATAAATGCCATTATCCATAGTACATTTTGGAAGTGAGCAGGAGAGGGTGGCTACATTCCTACATACAGTGGGACAATAGAGAATGAATGTAGCCACCCTCTACACCTCTAACCTTTCTTAGTTAACCACTTCCCGTTGGCCCATGTATATAAACAGCCAGACGGGAGCAGTGCAGGAGCGAGTGGCCATTTATAAACGGCCTCCGCATTCACTGCCTCTGCGCGCTCCCTGGGAGTGCGCAGCACTGAAATCCGGTGTCCTCCGGACACAGCGGAACACCAATCACTGTACGGGACCTCTGTGTGAGGTCCCAATTCATGTGATCACTGTTTGGCCAATCAGTGATCACAGGAACAGTAGTAAACAAGATGTCACTTCCTGACATCATTGTTTACTACGTGTGAAATCTGTGAATGATCACAGAGGTCACATGGTACACAGCTATTCACAACAGCCTTGTATTATGTGACAAGCTGTGAACAATCACAGCTCTCACAGTATTTCTCAGTGGCTGCAAGAATGCATCCAGAGAGAAGGAGAAATTATTTCTTTTACAGCCTTTATGGGTGTAAAGCAATCAGTGTAAAAAAAAGAAAAAAAAATCTGCATCACCCCCCACAAGTAATACAGTGCCACTATGGTGACACTGTACTGCTAGGGTGACGGTATGTTAAAAAAAAAAAAAAAAAACATAAATAATAATATAAAAAAAAAAATAAAAATGTAAAAATGTTTGGAAAAATTATAATTTTTTAATGGTTATAAACTAATTTTGGTAATTTTTTTTTTACTAAAAATATAGATGAATATATTTTGGCCAAGATTTATGAAGAATGATTATAAAAAAATGTTTGGATTTTTCATTTATATAGAAAAAAAATTTAAATCCCAGTAGTGAATAAATACCACCAAAATAAAGTTTTATCTGTCTCAAAAAAATGCTAAAAAATTCATATGGGTACAGTGTTGCATGACCGCGCAATTGTCATTCAAAGTATGATAGCACTGAAAGCTGAAAATTGGCCTGGACAGGAAGGAGGTGAAAGTGTCCGGACTGGAAGTGGTTAAGAGTGCATACATTTACATTTTTTTTTCAACCCAGAGTTTAGTGTCACTATTAAGTATAACTGAAGGTAAAACGTTGTTTTTAGTTTTAGAACACCTGTCAGTTTTGTAGCATTGTCTGTTTCTCAATTTTCCCTCTATATTTGTCCATTATCCTTGAAAGAGCAAGAAAATACCAAATTTTAATTGGTCACCAGGATACATATAGATGGCAACTTTTCCAATGGGAAAAAAATATATATAGTAAATATACACGTGATTTTGCAGTTGCTGGTAGGGGGGCTCTTGAATCCTGTACTCGCGTCCTTGGCTGTCAATAACCGGGTCCCGGCCGGTGATTCCACGCTGGCACCTGGCAATCTCCGAGGATTTCCGATGGAGGAGAGACCTGTATGTAAACAATACAATACAATAAAAGATGGAATCTCTTGGAGTTTTCCAGTCAGGCTTCATTTGGTATGTAAAATGCCTACAGTTATAGCAAGGGCATTATTCATGCAAGGGCATTAGTGTTTTTAGCTCAAGCAATTTTTCAGCCATTTCAGCAATGATGAGAAATAGGAGATGCAAAGTGAGAAAGTGAATGATTGTAATTAAAATATAGAGATATAGAAGTAGTATGGGAACTTTTAATAATCTGAATTACTATTCTTAATTTTTGGTGGTAGTGCAGGCTCAGCTCTCAGAAATAACTGTGTGTCCTGTTATTAAAGTATATGTGAATCCTCCCCTTGTAAAACAACCCATTCAGTTTAAAATAGAAATGAAAGGCAAAACATTTGTATACAGTATCTCTCTCTCTTTCTCTCACTCTCTCTCTCTCTATATACAGCGTGTAAAATAAGTATTGAACACGTCACCATTTTTCTCGGTAAATATATTTCTAAAGGTACTGTTGACATGAAGTTTTCACCACATGTTGGTAACAACATGCATATAGGCTTTCCATACATACAGAGAAACCAAAACAAATAAGTTCAGAAATTGAGTTATGTGTAATGAAATGGAATGACAAAGGGAAAAATATTGAACACGCTAACTGAAATTTATTTAATACTTCATACAAAATCTTTTGTTGGTAATGACAGCTTCAAGACACCTTATGTATGGAGAAGCTAGTCACATGCATTGCTCAGGTGTGATTTTGGCCCATTCTTCTGCAAAAACAGTCTTCAAATCTTGAAGGTTCAATGGACCTCTTCTATGAACTCTGATATTCAGTACTTTCCATAGACTTTTTATTGGATTCAAGTCATGTGATTGGATGGGCCATTCTAGCAGCTTTATTTTCTTTCTTTTAAACCAATTGAGAGTTTCCTTGGCTTTGTGTTTGGGATCATTGTCGTGTTGAAATGTCCACACTCATTTCATCTTCATCATCCTGGTAGATGACAGCAGATTTTTATCAAGAATGTCTTAGTACATTTTTCCATTCATCCTTTTCAAAGACATGGAGTTTGCCAGTACCGTATGCTGAAAAACAGCCCCACACCATCATGTTCCCACCTCCAGACTTCACTGTTGGTATGGAGTTTGGTGGGTGATATGCAGTGCCATATAACCTCCAAACATGGTGTGTATTATGGCATCCAAAGAGTTCAGTTTTGGTCTCATCTGACCAGACTATGTTGTCTCAGTATTTCACAGGTTTGTCTAAATGTTGTGCAGCAAACTTTAAACGAGGTTTAACATGCTTTTTCTTCAGTCTTACGTGGTGACCGTGCATGCAGGCCATGGTGGTTGAGTGCATTTCTTATTGTTTTCTTTAAAACAATTGTACCTACTAATTCCAGGTCTTTCTGAAGTTCTCCGCAAGTGGTCCTTGGCTCTTGGACAACTCTTCTGATAATTCTTTTCACTCCTTTGTCAGAAAGTTTGCAAGGAGCACCTGGTTGTGGCCAGTTTATGGTGAAATTATGTTCTTTCCACTTCTGGATTATGGCCCAAACAGTGCTCCCTGGAACATTCAGAAGTTTACAAATTTGTAGGTAACCAATGCCATCAGTATGTTTTGCAACAATAAGGTTTAGAAGGTCTTGAGAGAACTGAACCAGCTGATATTAATTTGCACTGGCAAGGCCAGGATTGATTTCTAATTACTGATAGATTTCAGCTGGTGTCTTGGCTTTCCATGCCTTTTTGCACCTTCCTTTCTTCATGTGTTCCATACTTTTTCCCCTGTGTCATTCCATTTTATTACTTTTTGTTACTGACATGTGGTGAAACTTTTGTCAATAGCACTCTTAGAAATATATTTACCTAGAAAGATGGCGACGTGTTCAATACTGATTTTACCTGATATATATATATATATATATATATATATATATATACTGTACTGTATATACAGTATCTCACAGAAGTGAGTACACCCCTCACATTTTTGTAAATATTTTATTATATCTTTTCACTGAAGAAATGACACTTTGCTACAATGTAAAGTAGTGAGTGTGCAGCTTGTATACCAGTGTAAATTTGCTGTCCCCTCAAAATAACTCAACACACAGCCATTAATGTCTAAACCGCTGGCAACAAAAGTTAGTACACCGGCACCCCAATTAGCCATTTTCCCTCCCTGGTGTCATGTGACTCGTTAGTGTTACAAGGTCTCAGGTGTGAATGGGGAGCAGGTGTGTTAAATTTGGTGTTATCACTCTCACTCTCTCATACTGTTCACTGGAAGTTCAACATGGCACCTCATGGCAAAGAAATCTCTGAGGATCTGAAAAAAAGAATTGTTGCTCTACATCAAGATGGCCTAGGCTATAAGAAGATTGCCAAGACCCTGAAACTGAGCTGCAGCACGGTGGCCAAGACCATACAGCAGTTTAACAGGACAGGTTCTACTCAGAACAGGCCTCGCCATGATCAACCAAAGAAGTTGAGTGCATGTGCTCAGTGTCATATCCAGAGGTTGTCTTTGGGAAATAGACGTATGAGTCAATCCATGCTAAACAGCATGCATAGAGGACCGTCGGTTACCAGCTATTATTTAGCAGCCATTGCTCCAGCAGTTGCTGCATACCTGAAGAATTTTCATACCAGCTCCAAATAAACAATCAACTTTTCTGGAGCAGTGGGGTGCCAACAGGGTCATCCATATTTCAAATTTCGAGATTCAAGCAATGTATAGCCAGCATAAAACTTTTCCACTGATAAGGTAAGTATACAAGTATATACCAACACACACAGCTAAAAGGTAAGGGCCCAGGATGGGCCCTGTCTGTCCTTTTTTCAGGTGGACCCGATCAAACCACCATTGTTCTCTATGGGGAAGTGAATGTAAATGGACATGTATTCGTTTACACCCGCCTGCATCTGATCCGCTAAAAACAGACTGATGGGGGATCCGTTCCGTCTAGCAAATCAGGATTACAGTTGGATGTAAATGGACAGGCAGTGTGCTTATATCTGACTCCCCATAGAAAATAGCACAAGTGGAGCAGACATGGACCTGTCATCTGCCTGCTCAGCGGGGATCAGCAGACAGATTCCCCTCTGAGCATTCAGAATCACTTGGCAGAGTCTGCCATTGTGAAAGGGCCCTAAGACTGAATTATTATAGTAGTTTTCAGAGTGGAGGTTCAGGTTATTACAAATGCCTTTATCTGAGTGGTTCTCTTTGTATCCAAAAAAAATAGTAGATAATAGAGCTTGTAAAATTCTAACATTTTCCTTTATTGTCATTTCTGGCAGAAAGATAATGAGGGCCTTATTGGAAGTTGTCTCATTCATGCATTCCCAGAACATTGTTCACAGAGACCTCAAACCAGAGAACATCCTCCTGGATGACAACATGAACATAAAGCTGACAGATTTCGGCTTCTCCTGTCAAATACCTGAAGGACAGAAATTAAAAGGTAGACTATGTTCCATTCCTAGCAATCTCATGAATTATCCTCTGCTGAATCATTCCGACTACAGTGACAGAGGATGAAAATGAACAGTTACAGTGAAGGAAATAAGTATGTGATCCCCTGCTGATTTTGAATGTTTGCCCACTCACAAAGAAATGATCAGTCTAAAAATCGAACGGTAGGTGTCTTGTAACACTGAGAGACAGAATAGCAACAAAAAATTCAAAAGAAATGCATGTCTAACAAATCATACACTGATATGCATGTTCATGATGGAAATAAGTATTTGATCCCCTTCACAAAACATGACTTAGTACTTGGTGGCAAATGCCTTGTTGGCAATCACAGAGGTCAGACGTTTCCTGCAGTTGGCCACCAGGTTTGCACACATCTCAGGAGGGATTTTGGCCGACTCCTCTTGGCAGATCCTCTCCAAGTCATTAAGGTTTGGCGGATGATGTTTGGCAACTCGAACTTTCAGCTTCCTCCACAGATTTTCAGTCAGATTAAGATCTGGCTAGGCCACTCCAGGACTTTAATCTGCTTCTTCTTGAGCCACTCCTTACCTGCCTTGGCCATGTGTTTTGGGTCATTGTCATGCTGGAACACCCATCCACAACCCATTTTCAATGCCCTGGCTGAGGGAAGAAGGTTCTCACCCAAGATTTTACAGTACATTGCCCCGTCCATCTTCCCTTTGATGCGGTGCAGTTGTCCTGTCCCCTTAGCAGAAAAACACCCCCAAAGCAGAATGTTTCCACCATGTTTGACAGTTGGGATGGTGTTCTTGGGGTCATAGGCAGCATTCCTTCTCCTCCAAACACGGCGAGTTGAGTTGATGCCAAAGAGCTCGATTTTGGTCTCATCTGACCACAACACTTTCAACCAGTCCTCCTCTGCATCATTCAGATGTTCAGTGGCAAACTTCAGACGGGCCTGGACATGTGCTTTCTTGAGCAGAGGGACCTTGCGGGCACTGCAGGATTTCAATCCTTGTTGGCGTAGTGTGTTACTAATTGTTTTCTTGGTAACTGTGGTCTCAGCTGCCTGGAGATCATTGACAAGATCCTCATGTGTAGTTCTAGGATGATTCCTCACTGTTCTCACGATCATTGACACTCCACCAGGTGAGATCTTGCATGGTGCACCTGACCTAGGGAGATTGACAGTTGTTTTGTGTTTCTTCCATTTATGAATGATTGCACCAACTGTTGTCACCTTCTCACCAAGCTGCTTGGTGATAGTTTTGTAGCCCAGTCCAGCCTTGTGTAGGTCTACATTCTTGTCCCTGACATCCTTGGACAGCTCTTTGGTCTTTGCCATGGTGAAGAGTTTGGAATCTGATTGATTGATTGCTGCTGTGGACAGGTGTCTTTTATACAGGTAACAAAATTAGATTAGCAGCACTCCCTTTAAGAGACTGCTTCTAATCTCAGCTTGTTACCTGTATGAAAGACACCTGGTAGCCAGAAATCCTGCTGAATGATAGGGGATCAAATACTTATTTCCCTCATGAATATGCAAATCAGTGCATAATTTGTTAGACATGCATTTCTTTTGAATTTTTTGTTTCTATTCTGTCTCTCAGTGTTACAAGACACCTACCATTCGATTTTTAGACTGATCATTTCTTTGTGAGTGGGCAAACATTCAAAATCAGCAGGGGATCAATATTTATTTCCTTCACTGTATGTCTTGCCAAGTGCTGGGCTAGAGAAAGGTTTTCAGCGTGCATGATTCAGCAGTTGTTGTTAAATCGAGAAAGATTTAATTTCAATGACCTTGAGGTCTAATAACGCATTTTCAAAGACAGAAATAATTTTTCCTTATACAGCATCTATATATGGAGCTCAGTAAAAAGTACAGAACCTTTTTTTAAAATACACAAGAGAGATACATACAGTTGTTCTTGCTAGCACTGAAAATGTGGCTTCTTTCCTGTTAAATGTAGTTGTGTTTACTCCTAGGTAGGTATGCCAGAGAATCTGTGAGTACACAGTTTTTTCTTCGGTCTTTTAATTTTTTTTTTTTTTTTTTTTTATGGAAGGTACAGACATCTTTTCTTCAGGCAAAAATGGATCTCTGTGCTTCCTCTTCAATCATTTAACCACAAGTTATCATATGCATATACCTTTTGGTGCTTTTTCATTTTAAATTAAAACATTTAAGCCAGGGGGCATCCAATCACTGTATATAGGTATACAGCCTTTAAAGATAAGTTCACCTTTGGAACATGTTACATGTTCCAGCTCCTGCCTCCTTTCCCTGTGACAGCGGGCAGGGGATCCTCTCCCCACAGCTGCTGTCAGAATTTAAAAGCATCACCGACATGCAGGGCCCCAGCCATACAGCAGCATCATTCATTCACAGAGCCCTGTGAATGAATGAACTACAAGTACCATCAGCTGCTGATGGCATGTAGTTCTCAATGAACTGTGAGGGCGCTGGTGAGCACTCTCGTAGTCCATTGATTCTTCTTGTCATTCAGTAACTGTCTGTCCATACAGAGGTACAGGCAGAAAGCTAACTGAAAGTCTGCAGGAGCCTGACATTGCACCCGTGATCTGCAGATTGTGGGTGCAATGCCTTAATGGCTGCAGTGTAAAAAAATAATAGATGCTATTTTATTTTTTATCTGCAAAAAGATGTAAATTTTTTTACATAAACATGAAATTGGCCTTTAAATGGACTAAAATGTAACTAAGGTAACAACAGTGTTGAAGAGAGTACGTATATTAGTCTTCAGATCAATCCCAAAGCAGTCCCTTAAAATTCTAGGCCCAGGCTTCACAGGTGACAACATTCATTATATACCAGCACTTAAAATGTATGAAAAATTTATGTAAAGTTAAATTTAAAAGCTAGGGACTTTACTGTTCCTGATAGTAAATATTTTGAATACTTTTATTTTTACAGTCACTCGAAGTACTCTGAAGTCTCCCTCCATGCACACTGGGCTTAAAAAAACTTTCCTGGGCAGAAAAGAAACATTCATATAGAGCATTTTTGTACACATGTTTAGGCGTGTTTAGGAGAGTTTAGCGTTTTTTTCAGCCAGAAAACTCCAATCAAAAACACAAACCACAAGTTTTTTTCTTCTCTGCCATTAAACGCTGAGCTTAGAATATGCCTTTAAATATCCCATTGTCACCCATTAAATGCTTAGTGGCATTTTGTCACGATTAGTGGCTTTTTCCCGAATTTTTCTGTGTTGCGATTTTTAGAGTTTTTTTTTTACCAAACAAAAAAAATTTTGGGGGGGTCAAAAAATGGCCAAAAACACCGCTTTGTGGTGTTTTACTGTGTTTTCCCACGTTTTTCAGCATTAGAGCATTTTTTACAGCTAAAAAACTCCTCTAGAAACCCACTAGTCCTGTTTTTTTTTCCAGCCAAAAATGTTGATTACAGTCTATGTATGCATGGACACATAGGATAGATAACATGCTGGGGGGTTTACTGTAAAAACGTCAAGTGTGCATGAGGACTAAACATCCCAATATGCATGGACACCTAGTTACTTCTGCAGGCAAAACACAAAACTCCTGCAGAAGCAGTGTTTTTTTATCCAGTGTGTATGGACCCTAAAGGGCCTATTGTTGGATATTGATCATGGATTTTAATCCAGTTTATAAAGGGCCTATTGTCCATGTGTGTATGGACCCTAAAGGGCCTATTGTTGGATATTGATCATGGATTTTAATCCAGTGTGTATGGGCCCTAAAAGGCCTATTGTTAGATATTGATCATGGATTTTAATCCAGTGTGTATGGACCCTAAAGGGCCTATTGTTGGATATTGATCATGGATTTTAATCCAGTGTGTATAGACCCTAAAAGGCCTATAGTTGGATATTGATCATGGATTTTAATGCAGTGTGTATGGACCCTAAAGGGCCTATTGATCATGGATTTTAATCCAGTGTGTATGGACTCTAAAGGGCCTATTGCTAGATATTGATCATGGATTTTAATCCAGTATGTATGGACCCTAAAGGGCCTATTGTTGGATATTGATCAAGGATTTTAATAAAGTGTGTATGGACTCTAAAGGGCCTATTGTTAGATATTGATCATGGATTTTAATCCAGTGTGTATGGACCCTAAAGGGCCTATTGTTGGATATTGATCATGGATTTTAATCCAGTGTGTATGGACCCTAAAAGGCCTATAGTTGGATATTGATCATGGATTTTATTCCAGTGTGTAAGGACCCTAAAGGGCCTATTGATCATGGATTTTAATTCAGTGTGTATGGACTCTAAAGGGCCTATTGCTAGATATTGATCATGGATTTTAATCCAGTATGTATGGACCCTAAAGGGCCTATTGTTGGATATTGATCAAGGATTTTAATCCAGTGTGTATGGACTCTAAAGGGCCTATTGTTAGATATTGATCATGGATTTTAATCCAGTGTATAAGGACCATAAGGGGCCTATTGTTGGATATTGATCATGGATTTTAATCCAGTATGTATGGACCCTAAAGGGCCTATGGTTGGATATTGATCATGGCTTTTAATCCAATGTATATGGACTCTAAAGGGCCTATTCTTGGATATTGATCATGCGAAGTATAGGAGCAGATCCATGCTAGTGTGATTTTGTGGGACATACAAGATGTTGTGATGATGCACAGCATTCCTGCAGTCCCGTAGTCAACCAGTGTCAATACAATCCAATGGCATCCTGTGGAAGAGTGGAACACAGGGTGGAACCCAAGGAGCATGAAGGGGAACATAAGTACCTGCTCACAGCTACTGTAGATCATGGCACAGGCCAGACACTTCAACTGCAATGCCACTCAGCAGAAGAGTGTTAGAAAAGGGATGCTTGTGGTCACATGACCACTAGATTAAATGAATATGTTTGGTATTTTGCTGCTTTTTTGTAGTGTTTAAAAGGTTTACCTAATCTGAATCATATGTTATATGATGGTCTGTTATTTGCAGACTTCACATAGGGTTTAAGTGAGTGGTAGAGGTTCTGGTATTTTACACTTCAGTTACATGGTGGTGGCTCAGCACCAGGAGGGAGTATAGTAAAAGGAAATAGAGAAAAATGTTAAGGATAAGTGAACTCAATAATTGGAGATTTTGCTGTCAATGGAGTGTGGGAAATGGGATCCATAAGTAGATTATCTAAGAATAGATTAGGTCACGTGACATGGATGGAAGGGGAAAACAACTGCAGAGATGTAACAGAGGAAAAGTTTTCCTCTTGGGAGGACATGGTTGTTTTTTTTGTGTTCCCCCAGGATATGTTGAGTGCCCCACCTCCTAAATGGAGATTTGGAAGATTGGAGTTGATTTGCTAAAAATGGAGAGTGTAAATTCTGGTACAGCTGTGCATGGTAGCCAGTCAGTTTATAACTTTGGCTTGTTCAATTAAGATTTGAAAAAAAAAAACCTGGAAACTGATTGGTTTCTTTGCAGAGTTGCACCAGATTTTGCACTCTCCAAATTCAGTAAATCAACCCCACTGTGTTTTTTGTAGCTGTCAGCACCTTGGAGAGGACAGTGTGTGTACCTGGGATTATTAATTTCTATCCAACTGAGCTAGAGTTGAAATGAGACCTTAACTTGAACCTACCTTCCTTACTTACTATTTTTGTGTAAAGTTTTTCTATTGCATGATTTGCATCCAGTTCTGCCAGGACAATCTTTTCCTGCTGAAAACACTTGGGGCATGTTCAGGGGCGGACAGACAACTCATGGGGCCCCCGGGCAATAGGGGATCATGGGGCCCCTGTGTCCTTGCCCAAACTCAAAAAAGCCTATGAAAAAGGTACCAGGGGCATCTCATGGGGCCCCCTACTGACCCCGGACCCTCGGGCAGTGCTCGAGTTTCCAAATGGTCAGTCCGCCCCTGGGCATGTTTCATGTAACTGGTGGAATCTGAAGCAAACCTATGTATTGGTTAGCACCCGCTGTGATGTTACCATAAGACTTGGGATGCGTATTTCCTGTATCTAATCGTGACTTGAGAAGAGCTGAAGGGAAAAGAACCCTCTGTCTGAGTTGCGTGACTTGGGATACATCTGAGACCCTTTTGTCTGTGTTCTAAGAAAGGTTTCTGACGCCTTGGAACTGAAAGAATGAATTTGGGTCGGTGTTTTACCCTTTTACATACTTTTAGTTTTTATAATTTAATCTAATTTCTACCTGCATCTTGCCTATAAATGTAATTTGCAAAGGGTACTGCTTTCGCTGATAATCAGGAATTTTAGATACATTGTCATCAAGCCTGAAAGCAATGCCTTTATATATTCTCTTCCTGCAGCAGCTGCTTCTGGCCACCTCTAAAGTCAGTTGCAGGTAAGACAAACTTTGTATTGGGATGAAAGACAAATCCCTCTCGTCTTCCCCATAGTTCTGGCTAGTGAAGGCCATAAGTATCTAGTGCAGGAAGAAAAGATGTAAACACACTGCTTCCAGGCTGAAATCACTTCCCATCTACATCACTTTTGTCTCCAGTATTACCTTGTTATATCACCATTACTTCAAGGGGGAATAGAGTTTTTTTGTTGATTCCTATGTCCTGTGTACCCAAAACACTTTGAAACATTTTCTTGTACTCTTCATTCTCACATTGTGGATATGCCATCCAATATGCATCCAACCAGATGGCCACTTCAGACCATCCATCACATAATAGCTGGCTGATTTGTTGATATTCCTAATCAGAGTTTGCCTTATAAAGGATGAAAAATCATACATGCTTGATTATAAAAGCATATATAGCTATTCACACACAGGAACTCACCTGTATTCTGTCTTTTATGATATGTGAATAGAGATAATCAACAGCTGAGCAGTGTTGGCTTCATAGGCACCTGGCCAGCTTTTAGACACAGTACTTTGATGGACTGAATAGTGGTGTCGTTTCCCAAAGGTATTCAACATACACATTCAAAGTAATTTACAATCATCAAACAAATCCATTTGTGCTAGTCCATTATATTCTGTATGATTATTCAGTTTAATACCGTATTAACTATCTTTGTTGTTGACTTTTGTATTTCAGAAATTTGTGGCACACCTGGATATTTGGCACCAGAAATAATCCAAACCTCTATGGATGAATACCACCCTGGATATGGTAAAGAGGTGGACATGTATGTTGCTGTTTAGGTTGCAATAAATGTAGCATTTTTCAAAATCTACTTCTCTGAAATGTGCATGTGTACAGGCAGGATAATGGCACTCCTCTTCTTGCCCTGCAGGTGGAGTAGTGGAGTTATAATGTACACACTACTGGCTGGATCACCACCATTTTGGCACAGAAAACAAATGCTAATGCTACGAATGATTATGAATGGGGACTACCAGTTTGGTTCTCCAGAATGGGATGATCGGTCAGACACGGTTAAAGATTTGGTATAGAATATGCTTACTCTCTTTTCACTGAGCTAAAATGACTTTTAAATGTCAGTACAGTCTTAATTTGTATTTATTTAACATGAACAAACGTTTTTTCTGTTTAGATTGCCCGACTATTAGTTGTGAATCCAGAGAGACGTCTTACAGCAGATGAGGCTCTAGCCCATCCATTCTTCCAACAATATGTAGTTGAAGAGGTTCGCCATTTTAGTCCATACAGGAAATTTAAGGTAAAAGATAAGTATTGTTTGGCATTTAATGTGATCTGTTATACAGTATGTGACTTGAAACCACACTGCTGTAGAGAAGACAGAGAAGTTTGGTTTTGATTGTCATCAACTATTCCCAAAAGTTCATGCATTTTTCTTGTATTTTCTGACATTTTATGAAAATCTGCTTACACCTGAGTATAGATAGTAGCTCTCAACAGTCAACCCCAGATGAATTTTGTATTGCCATTAATTTGGAAACAGAAAAATTAAGTTAAAATGTTTATTTGACTTATTAGTAAACTGCTGTGTGTCCAATTTCCTTTTTTATACAATATTCCTGTAAACAGTGAGATAGTATTTTGCTAATTGCACATTAAAGAGAAAACGAGCTCTGGAAGCTTTGCCTGAAAAGGGCAGACAGAGGACAAAGGACAAGTAACCAGTATTACCCTGTGGTCTCCCTGCAGATGAGCTTTTCCCCATTACTGACTTGCAATGCCTTGTTCTGCACTTTATGTTGAGGCATCCATCTTAGAAGCAGTAGCAGCAGAGTTTTGCTTCCTCATGTCAGAGTAAGGAGAACAGTGGGCAGGACAGTAGTAACATGACATTTCTTGGGGCCAATCAACCCCACCCCTCTGACGCCTCAGGAAAACCTCCTGCCAGAATAAAAGGGACTCCCCTCAGCCTAATGTTCCTCTTTTAGCCTCACTTGGGAGAACCTTTTCTGCATTGGATCCTGTGAGAATTGAAGATTCCCTATCTTACCACGTGGTTCATCTTTTGTAGGTGGAAGACTCACTGGCCGGAGGTCAATCTTTCATAGCAGGAGCACATTTGTGCCCGGGCTAGTTATACTGCGTAAATGGTGCATGTTGTGGAGTCTGGGAGGACTGTTGTGCTCAGTTTTGCTCTCTTCCTACTGTTTGTCTGTGCTTGTGTATGCTCCAGTTCCTGGGAGCTGTCTGCTACCCTCTCTGTCCTTCCTCAAAATGGCACCAATTCAGCTTTCAGTGGCATGTCACTTCCACCGAGAGTTGAGTGGCATTTCCTTTATTACAGGACACCAGGGAGCTGGCACTTGGAGGGGAAGTTATGCTCTCCAAGTGAGTGCCCTCTCTTTCTTAAAGGAGTCAGGGGTGGAGGCTGTTAGGGGATTGGAGAAGTGCTGCATCTGGCCACAAGTTAACAGGGGAATGCAGTGCTGGGCAAGTAATTGGCTAATCTTTTTAAGTCAAATTCATATTTTATCCTCAGATTCATTTCTTTTTGCAATGAGCTCTCGGAGGGCAGAGGCAGAGGCATGAAGATTTTACTCCAGGAAGGAGAGTGTCATCAGGATGCATTTACTACAGGAAAATAAAAAAATGAAGAGAGTGTTTAATGGTAGTATGCTTGCCTGCAAGGGGAAAGATTGGAAAGGAGAAAAGCATTAAGCTAAGACAAGGCATTCCTCTCCAGCTTCCTCCGGCCATCGTTCTACCTTGCAGCATTATGGAAGACACTGGTTGGATTTCTCCAGGAGTTAGTGTTCTGGTTGCCGTTCTCCCTGATAGTGTCATTCAAAGTCTTCCAGGAATTCTTTCACAAAGCCAGCTGCAGGTACCTGCTGGATGTGTGAAGCACCTGCTATGCCTGCAAAATTGGTTTGGGAGAGACGCTTTAAAGAAGCAGAAGTGGATAAGCTGCTGGAATCACAGCAAGTTAAAGAGTATATTTACCAAGCAGTGGAAGATAGTCTGAAGGAGGTTCCAGGAGGTTAGGTACTGCAGCTCAGGTGCAAGATTTTTATTCTTCCCCATAGCAGGGCCATGATGGGGTGGGGTCATTGTCAGAGGGGGAGGATCAGTCGGATGTCTATTCCTTTGATTTTTCCTTGGTGCCCTCTTTCATAACAGCAGTAAAACAGATTATTTCCAGGGAGGAGGATCCATCAGAACCTCTGCGGAAGGTGAGGAAGTACTTCCTTAATTTAAAAAAGGTTGCGTCTACCTTCCCTGTTATGTTTGAAATAAATAAATGATCAAGAAGGAATAGTCAAGACCTCACAAGAAAGTGGGCGTCCAGAACAGGATGTCAAAACTCTATCTTTTCAGGTGAGAGGATTCAGACACATGGGAAGGTACACTAAGGGTGCATGCATCTCTTCAGAGGTTAGCATGACATGTCACACTGCCCTTGGACAATTTGGTGGTTTTCCAAGAGGCAATGGACAGAAGATTAGATGCAGAATTAAAGAAGATCTACTTCACAGCTGGGGCAGCTTGTAAGCCTGCGGTAGCCTTAACATCAGTAGCCAGAGCTGTGAGGGCCTGGGTATCAACAATAGAGGAGATGAAGGATTGTCAGGGCTCGTTCCTTTTCAAAATGGAGGTGCTTAAGTTGGCAGCAGATTTTGTAGGGGAGGAAGCGGTGGACCTCATCTAATTGTCGGGTACTGTGATGGCTCATTCTGTGGCTCAAACACTGGATGGTTGGCTGTGCATCCAAGCAAGGGCTCTATACTGTATGTGGGCAAGATTCCTTTTTGGTAAAACCTGTGAAGAGGCTATTCACACAGTAACTGTTCCAAAGCTGCAAATGGATTATTCTGAAGGTCTGCCCACCCAGACTCCATAAGAGGAAGCCAGACTGTCTCTCTTCGCACGAGTCTGGGCAGAACAGATCTGGGACCCTAGGGCTACCTCGGTGGTAAGAAGAGGGTATTGTCTGGAATGGGAGCCCTATCGGCCGGAAAGTCATTTTATAAGGATGGATCTACCTGCCAGGAAGATGAAGATGTTTGGATTCATGTATTCAGAATCTGATAGCGGCAGAGATGGTGGTTTCAGTGCCCGAACAACGGAGTGGAGACGGTGTTTAATCCCCAATCTTTTTGGTGAAAAAGGCCTCTGAGAAATTAAGACTGGTACTGGATCTAAAGTATTTGAATATTTTAATCAAGCTAGCAACATTTTGAATGGAATCACTTCTAAGCTTTATTTCTTTTGGTCCAGGGACTGGATGTTGTTCATAGACCTGTTAGAATTGTATCTCCATGTGCCAATTCATCCAGCTTTTCATCGGTTTTGTAGATTTTCTGTCAGGGATGCTCACTACAAATTTGTCTCAGTTCATTGCTACAGATTTTTTCAAAGATTCTTATAGTGATTGAAGCCCTCTGTGTAGAAAATATAAGGATTTTCAATTATCTGGATGATGTCCTACTGCTTGCAGATTCCGGGCAGGAGTTATTTGCTCATCGGTCAAGGACTCTCAAAGTGCTCCAAGCCTTTGGTTGGATAGTCAATTTCAACAAGAGCCAGTAGACCTTCACAGAAGTATTCCTTCTGGAAAGGGAGATATCACTGTTGATCTCGACTATTCAAACTCTGAAGACAGTTCAGTCAGTTTCAGCTAGACACTGCATAGGGGTGCTAGGTCTTATGAACTCAGACACCTCCACAGTAATTTTTTCTCTAGCAGTAGGATAAACTATTCCTGAATCAGGAGATTATCTTTCCCCTATTTGTCAGACAGGCATTGACGTGGTGGACGAGGCCAGCCAGCTTCCATTATGGGGTGTTAGCTTTTGGTTACAGAGGTGATCATACTTACTGCTGATGCAAGCCTGAAGGGCTGGGGAGAGCACTGCCAAGATCAGACCGCCTGAGGAGGATGGAATGGGAGTCTTCAGAGTTTCGTCCAATTGCCTAGAGCTGATGGCCACAGGAGAACCATTGAAATGCTTTGCTTCACTGCCTCAGGGCCGTCATGTGATGCTCCAGATGGGCAACAGAATAGAGACGAGTTATACGGCGAATCAGGCCAGAACAAGGCGCATACCTTTGTTGCAGATTGCAGCACAGATCTTTTAAAGGGCAGAGTCCAATCTATTGCCTCTAACAGCATCTTACTTCCTGGGAATAGAAAAATTGCATGCGGACAAGCTGTGCTGCCGCTTTCTGGTTCAAAACATGTGGATATTGAACTGGAGAAATCTCATTCATCTGTTTGTGGAATGGGGTCTACCAGTGTTTTTCTCGCAAAGCTTTCAATGGGCAGAAATCGCACTGCACCTGAATCACATGGGAATCATGGTGTTAACTGGCCCTGAATAAAACTTGTTTCACAGAAAGAAGGTAATTTAAAATGAAAAGCTAAAACCTTAAAAACATCTGACTTCAGTGTTTCCTTGCAGTTGAAGTGCTGCAGAGGATGCCAACCAAGCGTAAAAAAGTAGGTTACTTTCCAAAACAGCTATATCTCACATATTTTTAGTTCTGATAAACTCTGAGATATTTACAAATATAGGAGAAACTGCAGTGTGTGCAGCAATTTCTGGACAGTGGTTTTACAGCATATACATATCTAAAATGTTGCCTATGTATGTCTTTCAAATTACATAAAATATATACACACAAATGCATACGTAAAAAGCACGATTCACATATTTGTCTCTGTAGGTGGTCTGCCTAACAGTTTTGGCCTCTGTGCGGATTTACCATTACTATCGTAGAGTGAAACCTGTTACTAAAGAAATTGTAGCAAGGGACCCATATGCAATTAAGCCCATACGGAAGATGATCGATGCTTGCGCATTCAGGATCTATGGACACTGGGTGAAGAAAGGAGAGCAGCAGAACCGAGCTGCACTCTTTGAAAATACAGCAAAAGCCATTCTATTATCACTGGCAGCAGAGTCCAGTTAATTATAACATTCTGCCTTTTGTCACGTAAACACAAAATTACATCAGTCTGTGTACCTATGGAATATGTGTGTGTATGTAAATATATTTATGAAACAAGTAATCAAATTTATAATAAATAAAATTATTTAAAATACTCCAGATATTAAAACAGTTTATTTTATTTTATAAGTGTGTACAGTATATATACAAAAAAACAAAAAAAGTATCATAGGAAACATTTAATCATTTAGAACTCTGAACTCCTGTCCAAACATTACTTTATATTTTTTTTAGCTTTGAACAGAGCAGGAAAGAGTTGAGTTCGAACATATGTTGGGTTTTTACTGCTTTGTTGTCTTAAAGCTTATTCTTAGTCTTGTACAGCTATACAGGCTCCTCTTCTGTACTGAAATTGATTAGTCTGATTAAACACTGTGAGCTGCTCAAGGTGTGCATTAGAAGCTGTAGCAGATTGAAGAGAGCCCCTCTCATTAATGAACTAAGTAATTTTTATATGTTAATCCAAATAATGTCCATGCAAACTTTAATGGAATACCCATTTATGTTTCTTTCCTGTGTTACAACATGACTACAAGTACTGTATATTGATGGAAGAGAATAATGGAAATGTACAGCTCAGTTGCTACAGGTCTCCTGGACTAGAACTTGGCAGTGAGAAGGATGCGATGTGACCAGTTTGTTCAATAGTACTGGCAGGTGTAGTTTTACAATGATAGCAGCATGTTCATGATTTTCTATATGTAGCTGGTATACAAAGAAAATTAAAGCTTCAGATACAATTAAGGTACATCATTATTTTGGGATACCAAAAGTTACCCTTGTCTGCTGACTGACATGTCTTTTAAAAGTAATGCACATAATTTACAGTCTAAAAATACTTAGGGAAACCAGTTTGATGGTTGATACATCCTATTTTCAAATGCTAGTGAAAAGATATTTTGCAAAACTGATGTTCATGATTCCTATAGATAATGAATTTGGTTTAGCTTAGTACCAACAGTTTTGACTGGACCATACATACCCTAGCAATTATTCTGTTCATCCCTTGTAGCTTAGGGTATCAAAAATTATCTCCTTATAATCACAATTCACAAAACTCATCTGATCATTACTGCTGGAGCTTATTCATTATGTAGGATCTGATACTGAAAAACATCTGCTACAGGTAATCGCAAGCACCTTGAGGACTTTTAGGGACTTGCACTTTATATTTTGATAACATGAGTACCCACAGAAACTGGCAATCCTGTATTTAGCTCAAAGCAGCAATTGGTTTTAATGCTCCCTTGTTCTACCACTGTTCTGCCACCACTAGTGAAGAAAACACTTGGTACTTCCAGGTATGGAGTATGTGGCTTTATGCCATTTCCTCACATGTGACGATGATGGTGCTTGGGTCAGGGGATTGGTTACACAGGGGGTGGGAAGACTGTTCTCAACCCTATATAAGCTCACAAGGCTCTCAACTTCAAGAAGTTATATGGAGAGACATGGGAGTGAAAGATAAGCACTTGCTACTGGAGGGTGTGACATTATTATTATACAGTATTTATAAAGCGCCAATAGTTCGCTCAGCGCTGTACATTACAAAGGGGGACAGAACATGTGACAGAACAATACCAATACAATGCAAAACATGAGGAGATCGAGGGCCCTGCTCTTTCGAGCTTACAATCTAGGAGATTAGCGTGAACTTGCTGTTTCGCCCTGTGTGGGTTAAGCAATGGTAGCAGCTTACTCTGGGGGCACTCAGCTGGGGAGAGGGGCCTGCAGCAGTGGCGGGGAACCCGAGAAGAGGAGGAAAGGGGCTGCTTTGTGTAAAACCAACATTTTAGGTATAGTTTTAGGTTAAGGTAACAGTATAGGTAAGTATGACATTTTTGTCATACTTACCTATACAATCACTTTAAATAGTTCCCGACCGTGCTATAGCCAAAAGACAGCCACAGCGTGGTCGGCTAGTTCTAGCCCTCGTCCATGGACGTCCTCCCAGAACCACACTCCCCTGCGCGCCATATGTGATTGCTGTGTCCTTCGGACACAGCTGATCACGACTAAGAAATGGGCCAATCACAGCCGCTTTTACCATGTGACCAGCTGTGTCCAATTACAGCTGATCACAGGGTAAATAGGAAATGCCAGTTATCGACAGTCCTCTGCTCACACTGACAGAGCGTGAGGAGTGGGGAGCTAGTAAGCGTCATTTTGCAGGGGGACATCTACACTGCTCATCAGTGCCGTTATGATCAGTGTAGCTCCATCAGTACGGCCAATAGTGCCCATCAGTTGAATCAGTGCCACCTATCAGTGCCCATTAGTGCTGCCTATCAGGGCCCATCAGTTCCACTCATCAGTGTCCCCTAACAGTGCCCATCAGTGCTGCCTAATAGTGTCCATCAGTGCAGCCTCATCAGTGCCACATATCAGCGTAGCCTATCAATGCCCATCAGGGACTCCTCATCAGTGCAGCCTATCAGTGTCCATCAGTGAAGGAGAAAAAATTACTTATTTACAAAACTTTATAACGGAAACTAGGAAAAACTTTTTATTTTTCAAAATTTTTGTTTAGCAAAAAATAAAAACCCCAGTGGTGAATAAATACCACCAAAAAAAAAAACCTCTATTTGTCTAAAAAAATGATACAAATTTAGTTTGGGTGCAGTGTTGCATGACTGCGCAATTGTCAATCAAAGTATGAGAGCGCTGAAAGCTGAAAATTGGTCTGGGCAGGAAGGGGGTAAAAGTGCCCGGTAGGCAAGTGGTTAAGCAATGCCGAAGCTAGCTGAATTCTGCTAACAGCTTGTTTAAAGCAACAGCCATTGAAACAGAAAGAATATCCCACGATGAAAAAATGCTTAATGTTATTAATCTCTTTCTCTTAGTATATACTGTACATTGCATGGGGCATGTAACATGCAGTGTATATCTGGGCTAATTCTTGGAATATCACAGGAGTTACATCACCACCACATTATGGCAAAAGCCCACACATGGTAGAATTTAATTCTGCTTTAAAGTGTAATTAAACTCAAAAACAAAAATGTATTATAGTGTAGCTTATCAATCATTGGATGTGGCAGCTGCTTTATTTTTCTTTCTGCAGGCTTTTATACCTTTATTTTCACCTGGTGATTGGCCAGTAACACACCACCTTGTCTTAGGGTGACTGCACTCACTCACTCAGTGGTGCATGTGCAACACACTCTGCATTCATGGCCCTTTGAATGTGCCAAACAAATTTGCAACAAAGGCCATAATATTAAAGACAAAATCACAGAAGAACTTTTACTGGACATGAAACACCCATGACTGAAAGACCTGAAATCCAATGAATGAAAAGGGATGTGTAAAGGGACACTTCAGCTGGGGAGGAAAGAGCTATGTCATGCTGGACATCCTCCAGCTAGAAAACAAGGAGGTTCTGTCTGACTTGCTGCAGCTTCTTATGCACACCATGAGACACTCACAGTATGCAGTGAAATCATTGTAAGCCATTTCTGTACAGATGAGCCTGGACAACTGGGCAGGACTGAAGGTAAAGCTGAAGTTGTCCACATCTGCATACACATCATTAAAATGGAAGACCCAGTATACGAAGTGAGGCTTTGGAACCTCATATTGGTAAGTCAATACACTCTCAGATAGAAGAGCATTATTCATTCTGGACCTCCTCTATTTCCACCCATAGGTGAGCAAAATGATAACATTATATTCTTCTTCCTTAGGAAGAGACTGTATCCCTATGAAAGCAAGCAGTAACCACAATATTTCCTTAAAGGTCCTCTTTTCCATTTTCTTTTGGTTTGGTGACATCTTTGACACAGCGGAAACTCAGGTTATCTGAGGCAGAATCTGGTGTATTGCCCATCCTAAAAAATAAAACACCAGACAAAAGGAGAAATTGAAAAGTTAATAATTACAGTTAAATGAACAGTCACCATTTTAGTATGTTGACTACAAGTCTGTCACTTTGTAACCTGCACTAGAAGACTCAAGTCCTTACATGAAACTACTTGGATACACCAGGACAAACAGAGAGGGTCAGGGGTCTGTTCAGGGCCACACGAGAAACTGGGATTGAATATTGTGGATGGCAGAACTTAATTATACTCAATATTAATTTTGGACCTTGGAAGGTCCATTAGTACATAAACATATAGAAAACAAACACATGGTGCTAGGAATAATAGGTACAACTGCTCATGAAATAGGTCTCTATCAGAGAGGCGGCTGAGCTATGATTTTACCACTCGAACTGTAAAATAACAGCCGGATTGGACTGTTCACATGCCACGGTCACTGTATTTTTAACACAATACCACTTCTCAAACTCTCTCACTAAGTTCAATGGGGTTGGGCCACAACCACGTGCAATGCAAACAATTGAAGCACGGTAGTATGGCATTATAGGGTTAAATTAGAATGTGAGCATATAACATCTCCCCACCACCTATTGAATGCTCTCTGAAAAGAACTGTGACTGAAAGAAGAGAGCCTGAGATCAGTACAGTGGGGATTTCTGCAGATCCTGATGTAGGAAACAGGTGCATGGCTCCTGGGTTTAGCTAACAAAGGAAGAACTTGGCTGGGTAGCAGAATGGCGAGACAGAGTGTCAGGACTTCTAGGCAAAGCTCTCCCACCAGAACTGAGCCTCTTCTCTGTACTGAGGCTTAGTTCTCTCCTTCCATTTCTTGCAGCTCTCTACACATCTGCCAGCATGCCTCTCTGAGCCTGTCAGCTTCCTCAGTAAGGAACCAGTCCTTAAGACTACCCCCCCCCCCCCCCCCACTATATTGCCAAAAGTATCGGGACACTCCTCCAAATCATTAAGTTCAGGTGTTCCATTCACCTCCATGGCCACAAGTGTATAAAATGAAGCACCTAGGCATGCAGACTGCTTCTACAAACATTTGTGAAAGAATGGGTCGCTCTCGGGAGCTCAGTGAATAAAACCGTGGTACCGTGATAGGTTGTCACTTGTGCAAAAAGTCCAATCGTG